CTCCCCCATGACCCATTCTTTTCACCTCCTCCCAAACTTGGAATATTCTATCACATCTCTCTAAAAAAAACCAACAAAAACCACACGGGAAATGCTTCCCAGTTGCATAACACCTTTCACTTGAAGATACTGAGAGCTCAGTTAGTATCCTGTGATGACAGTATTACCATATTGCTTACAGACCAGAAAGCTGAGCAACGTCAAAGGCCAGATCCCTGGTTCTGGGTTAGGATAGTATGATTCTACGTTGCTACTAGCATACCCACTGGGAGAGTGCATGTGTATAAGAGGGTAGGGGAAGGAGGTGAGCTGGCATTTTCATCTCAAGTCTAACTGCAGCCTTACACATAAACTCACTTTTTTTTTTTCAAGAGAATACTCTTTACTGAACATGATTATTCTTTTTTCATTAATTTCTAGGTTGTTCAGTGCCCTGCGCAACCTTTCACATCCTTTTCTGACCCTCATCTACAAAGTTGTGCTCAGCAGAGCACTCACCCATCAGACAGAATCACTGTATCTCCTACTCAAACACCCACTTGACAGAGGAAGTCCTAAGTGTTCCGTGTTTGTTTCTCGCTGTGACAATATACAACCCTGATTTCATCTAAAAATAAAGTAAGACTTGTCAGGCAGCCTAGCTCTGAGCATCACAGGTTTTAAGTTAGACCTTAAAGCTTTGTGATACTCAGCAGTGTATTAGGATAGCATCTTTAAAACAAAACAAAGCTGAAAGAACAACATATGACCTAAATTACTGGAAAATAACATTATAGAATGACCACCCTTCTCTGTCCACTCTCCTGCTCCCGTTCATGCCTTACAACCTTTCTTGATTTGCTGGCAGTGAGTGCAATTCAGCTGAATTTAGGCCTGCATGGGTTTGATCATACATCTAGCATTCAAAACTGTCTTCTTGGATGTTTGTCAAGTGCACGAATAGTACTATGAAACCCAGAATCAGTAATCTTCTGCTAGAGATACATCTCAAACTCAAACTATACAAACAACTTTAAAAGGACAATGCTGTCATGTTTAGCCTTGCACTGGTTATTTAGCCACCCGAAGCTTTAAAAAGTGGTACCAATTGCTGAGTCAGAATTGTAAAAGCTGTTGTATCCTATCTTTTTGCTGCAGTGGAAAGAGGGAAATCAGCCAGGTTACTATGGATAGGGCTGTCTTGATCTGAAATCCAGATCACTTTTGCAGTGAGATTACAATGTTACACCCACAAATTCAGCAGATGACTGTAAGGTTTGTAACCTGGAAAGTACTTCGAGAAAGTTGGATCTTCTCATAATAAGTAGTAATAAAAAAAGACCCATTATTTTCTGAAGTACCAAGCGCTTTTCCATCGCAAAGTGTACTGCTCTTTCCCATTCTGTGCAGAGAAGATGGTGCTGCAGTTAGCTGCTTCTGGAAGGAAACAAGACAGTAAACAACCCATCAGGATCCAGCTGATGGGCTTCTGGATGAATGCATGCCTGCCTCATTGGAAGTAGGTCCCAACAAAACACTCTCTGCAACCTTCTGATCCCAGCTCATGCATAAAAGCTAAAAGCTCCATCTTCCCTATGACATGACACATTTATTAATTAGACATCAATATGATGTTTCTGATACAGAGCAACTGACAGGTAAGAACTGATGTCAGCGGGTATCAACTTCCTACAGCATTATGCCTCCCTCATCTGAAATAGCTCTCCCACTGTGTTGTACGACTGCTCAACAGGATTCCTCCTCAAAGAGGTTTTCTTCAAATATTTGAGACAAACCTACAAAGGTATAGAGCACCTGCAAAACCTCCAGGGATTTCCAAAGCAGTGTTGGACCTCAGGCTTGTGGAACCTTCCTTCTCTTTAAAACAAATCAAAGGAAAAGAAAAAAAAAAAAAAAAAAAAAAAAAAGAAAAGGTCCTCACAAATATCGGTACACTGTGGACCTTATAATTAGCTTAACCAGTAAATTTCTGCTTCCCCTGAGGTGCATCATGATGTGTATTTAATGAAATCCTCCTTTCCCTATATCCCTAGCTGTTTTATATACTATAAATTATGGATGAGCTTCTGTTTACATATGCAATCTTTTAGCTATAAAATAAAGACCGCTAATACAGCACTTAAAACACACCAGGATGCCTGCACTCCATCAATGTTTAAATGAGATACAATATGCCAACCGCTCGTTTGCCATCACTGGCAGCGATGGATGGGGTGAAACGGACTGGGAGAGCAGAGGAGCATCCGCCCATTGCTCTAAGCTCCCCCTATTCCAACACAGTGCAGCCTTTGCCTGCTGGTAGTGAGAAACAGATGGTGACATTCCTCTCATTTTATGAGATTGGGAATTAAAATATTCAGCCTTGTATCACTATTTTTAGCATGGGCAAGGGATCTCGAAGAAATCTAAGGGGGGAAAAAGGAAAAGACAGTATCTATAGCTATTACCACACCATAGTACTGCAGTGAAACAATCAATAATATTTTTCAGGGAGATGCTCTGTGTGTGTGTTCCTTAATATGAAGATCAATAGATTTTGCTCCAGTCAAGCAGGTCTCACACAGTTGGTATCTTCGCACTGTGCTGTTCCCAGCTTACACAGTTCAAGTTCTCTGCATACAGAATTTACTTCATACTACAAAGAGGCAGTTTAACTTATTTAAAGATAATTTCAAAGCAAGCAATTTTGGATGAGCAGGGAGGTAACGCAGAGCTTCCAGAGCCCACTGTAAGTTTCTGGCTGATAGGGATGAGCTGCACGCAAATAGCTGTGATTAAAAGAAAAATTGCCCGGCAGGTATAATCACACAGTTATATCTGGGATTATTACAGCTCCCCCACACACTGTAAGCAAGTGACTTTGGTAATAAAACACAATGCAATAATAAACATGGGTTTCTAAAGGCCAGTGTTATAGCGTGCAACTACCCTAACTGTATGTTACTAGCTTTATTGTGCTAGCGAAACCACATGTATTATCTTCTATCCAGAAGACAAATAAAAATATTTGCTCTAAGACAAATTTACAGTTTTAAATTATGAAATCCTAACTGCCTTAAGATTTGCTATCCTTACCTCCCTTTCCTCTGCATGTCTGTCTTTCTGTTAATCGTGTTTCTTTTTCCCTTTTATTTAATCCTGCTTCTGCTTGCTTCAGGTACTAATTTGTTTGTCAGGTAACAAAGAAAGTCTCAAACAGAGGAAGCTCTACTTAAATAATCCTTATTGGGAAACAGGTTCATGTACATAACTCTAACCCAGTATTAGTCAACTTGGGTAGCTGTGATAGAAAACAAGGCACACTTTTTAAACTTCCCTTAGGGTTGTTGTGGCCACATAGTCTGTCTACAAAAACCTTGGGTACACTAGGAACACCTGCCCCCCTTGTTAGTTGTGGTATGTACTAATATGAAAGGGTTTTTATAGTTACAGGCAGTTCTCTGCACAATGGTAGGATGTGTACACAAATCAAGAGTTTGGGTTTTTTTGGTCAACATAATGTCATCAGTTAGGAAATAAGAAAACTTCACTTATTGCAGTTGGAGCCCATGAAGATTTGCTGTTAGAAGCTTGGACTCAAGAGTTCCAAAATCCACTTGAGAGGGAGTAAGGAGCTTTGCCTGGAAAGGACATATGGCCATAGGGCCCCTGCCCGCTTCCACAGAAGTTAGGTTTTGTTTTGGAAAGCAAAAAATATAGCAATTCTTTTGGTAGAAAAGGTAACTTTCTCAAATGATATACAGAGGAGAAACTCATGTAGTTCAGTCCTGCAAATCTGCTGACGGATGCATGCTTACCATTCATAGCTGAAAGAAAGCAAAGTTGAAAGGAAAGCAAGCTCAGGAAAAGGAATTGGGTTGTTTCACCATTGTTGATGAGAATTAAGCAGGCTGTAACTGCTCCACATTTGCTCTGCACGAACTGCCTTTCAGTATGCTTTCCAGTAGACTCTCTGTTAGAGCTTCTATGACTTATTTCTGCTAGCCTAATAGGCTAACATAACTGCAACCATATTAGCTATGGGAGCAACTGGAGCTATGCTACTTTTCCAAGGGTGTCTGGTTATACTAAGAAAATTCTCCTCTATTCAAAGCAAAGCAAAGCAAAAATAAACACATGCGCACTTCAAAGGACTAAAGAAAACAATAAATCAACCCTAGCAAGGCAAAAGGCAGAAACTGAATTTATGAGAGGGGTGAGAGAATCCAAACCAGATGGCTAAATTAATTTGTGTTCCTTAAAGTGCTGTGGGAAGACAATTGGACCAATGGTGATAAATGTGGTGAAAGACCCAGCTTAAACCACTGCATTAAAATGCACTGGAACTCCTGTGTTACAGTCCTCCCTCTCCAACTGTGAAACAGCCTATCCAAGCCTATAGCTGATTTTCACTTCTTTTCCATTGCTGCTGTTCTTAAAATGTTACTAATGCGGCTTGTCGGATTTTCTTCAGCTTTACAGCAGGAGCTAAAGGCATTGTACTGAGAAGTAAGTGAAAGGAGGAGGAAATACTCTTTAGTGTAAGACATAAATGGTGCTCTACAGTTGGGTTTACTTTGTTGTTGTTGGTGGTGGCTGTTTTCTTAAAGACAGCTAAGGAGAAAAAGAAACATTACAGAAATCTAACATTGTACAAAAAACAGAACGCTCAGCAAAAAATCCAAATAAAAGCTAAGTGAGCATAAAAACTGTTTTAAGGAATAAACACCGAGGCATTGAGTCCTGTTAGCATTCAAATCAAGCAGCGAGACTGTTCATACCACAAACTTAGTCCTTCCCAACACACTCACCAATACAATACAATGTCTGTGATGTACTTCCACAGCCCACGATGTGCTAGGAAAGCACACGGCTGAGTGACAGTTTGTCCAGAGAGAGGTTTGATGCTTGTTCTCTGCAAGTCTCTACGTACTATTCCAGGCAGTAAGTATACTTATCCATGATTTCAATCTTCCATTCCGTGCAGCAGAAAACATCAATAGTTGTGCTAAGTCACTCACCCATAACGTGTAGGACCCCCTGCGGCTCCCTGGAAAAGTCAGCATACTTTGATCTGAGACAGCAACAGAGGCCAGGCCACTGCTCCTGGATGCTGGCCATTCAAAGTCAGCCTCAGCCTGCTCAGTTTTGCTTTTCTGCTTCTTTATAATCTGTAAGGTAGGGGGACAGGGGGTGGGAGGGGAGGAAAAAAAAGGTGCTTGGAAAATACTGTCTGAGCTGTATGGAGAAAAACTACATTAACCCTGTCTCAAGGCAAACTGCCTAGGAAGAACATTTGAGTTTCCCTTTGTTTTTGCTCCAGTGTATGCAGGGATGATTCTGACAACTTGCATGCATTTCTTCTCACCTGAAGTCATGCTGCTTGCAAGTGTGTAACCATCAATAAAATAAATCATAATCAATGCCTGTAGGAACATCAGAGGTGAATTAAGTAAACAAGGAAACCTGTTCCTAGAGCAACACTTTAAACATTAGCAGCATCTAAGTGTCAAGTATTTTCTCAGACAAGAATTTTTGCAAAGAAACATACAATACTAGATATGAGGGGAATTTCAAAGGCTCCCATGACATCTGGACACATTTGTACTGAAAACAAAGAGGTCTTAGGTGTCTAGGCACTATTTTTGTTTTTGAAAATCTACATCATCTTAAGAGAGAGAGATCATACAGACTATCTGTCTCCCTATGCTGACAGATTATATCCTGCTACACTTCATTTCCACAACTTTTCTGACTCCAATTTAAAATAGCTACAGAATATTATTCCATGGCATAAAAGATCTTGTCAGGTAGCTTTTGACAAAAGTGGTAGCAATTGAAGCTTGGCTGAGATAGGCTCTAGACTATCAAAGACCTGATAAGCAGAATTAATCTTCTAACATCTCTATTAAAAAAGAAGGCAGATTATTTTCCTTTGAGTTGCTACTCTTCTGGCTTTTCTTGATAGCCTTATAAACATGTTCCTCTTCTGGTGTATGATCTATACATTGTAAAATGCCACATCCCATACACCGATGTGGCAATTAGCTTAGTTCACGTGGAGGGAGACTAACTTAGCAGAGTGGTTTGGTTACTTTACTGATCACGGGAGCCCAGCAGCACTCTGTTAATGCTCATATTGCCTTGCTCCAGACTGTCCAGACAAACTCTAGGGGTATTTGCTCCCACTAGCCCTCCATTTCTGCGCTGTGCCAACTGCAAGCTTTGCAGGGAGAACAACGAGCTTTCTGGAAAAAGCCACACAGAGGGTTCTATGTATTTTTGGGCGTCTCTCTCACAGCATCATTAACAGAATTCTGTTTGAATGATCAATGTTTTCTTTGTATGTGTTGCAGATGCAGCGCTCAGTAGAGGGTATGGTCAAGAGTCACAATTCTTCATACTGGAAAACTTTCTGCCTTTTGGGAAGTGAGGTACAGATGTACAATTCCATCGAGCAAGGGCCTCCTCTTCTAAGAAAGGGTATTGCAGACCTGAGGGAGTGGTACTTCTCAGCTCTGAGGGCGTAGGCCATCAGTTTAGGCATCAATTAAGCTTATTTATAAACTGATCTCTCTGTCAGATGAGCTGATTAAGCCTATACTGTGATAGCTGAAGTTGCAATTTGTCATTTATTCTCCTTTCTGCATTGGTGCCATCTTTTTCTGTTAGCAGAGTTAAAGCTCACCAGACTAAAGGATTGTGTGTTGGCTATTAAACAAGCTAGGGAAAAATGCATGCCATACCTTCTGCACGATGGTTGTGGCCAGCTCTTCTATGAGGTCCTCCTTGTGTTCCTGCAAGTAACAAGCCTCGTTCTGCTTGTCCTGCATGAAAATGGGTATCTGTAGTTGCTAAAAATCACATAAAAACAACCTTTCCACAGAAATGGTATAGAGCAGGAAATGGGTAATATGCCCTGTTGGCACTGTGGGAAGAAATTACAGGTACTGACATTGCATATCACCTTCTGCAATGCAGCATGCATCTTGGATACAAGTTCATAAACCCCACACCCAACTCTTTAGGTATGGCATGAGATAGGCACTGCTTCTTTATGTTTTCTTTTGTATCTACTCATTTTTGTACTACATCTCAAATTAAAAGAAACATAATTGTTCTATTTAAATTAATAATTTTTTTTTTGGAAAACGTTACCAGGCTGTCACTGTAGGTCTCTGCCTTAGAAATAGCTTCTTCCACCGCTTCCTCTGCAACACGTAAGGCCACAGCAAGGGTATCCATCATGCTGTGTCCTAGGTGAAGAATAAGATAAAACCACCATGTTCTTTATAGATGTACATTTTGCATAATGAGCTCCAAAACTCAGACTTGTATTCTGGACATATATTCAAATCTTAGGTTGTTCATGACAAAGTTCATTTCCTCAATCCATAATTATGCACAGTAAAATAAACACCTTAAGACAGAGAAATACGTCTCAATCTCTATGTTGCTTCTTAAATGTAAATAGTAAATACAATAAAACACAGTATTTTTATGTCATTTATTTTAGAATCTAGCAAAATAGTTAGGATGAAATCACAGGAAGAAAATTTTTAAACTTCCTATAAACACCAACCGAATATAAGAAAGAGAATGAAAAAAATATATCAGCATAGGAAAGAAAATGCGAGAGGAGTAACAAAAAGTGAACATTAAGAAAACCACACTAGAATAAGCATCTATTAGCTGTAATACTGAAGCAAGACATCCCAGCATGGCACACAAAGGATTTTTAGTATCTTGCTAAATGTTTCAGCAAAAAGATTGTTGGATCTGTGAACAAGACTTACCAGCAGTCTAGGCTATTTGTCCAGTAATTCAAAGCATAAGGACTGTGTTTTCATCAAACAAGTTTTTAGCAGCATACCTTCTGTCTGTCGGTAGAACGTAGAGTCACTGCCACAAATGCTTCCTTCATTTTCAAAGCTTCCTTCAAAAAAACCTCCTTCTGTTCAAAAAAGACAGTACTGTGCGTTAGTATAACCCATCTATAACCCTGTTATATACCCATTAACAGCACAGGCATTATGAGATTAGAATATTCACTCAAGACACGGTGGTGCTGCACACAAAGAGGGGTAACTGGAAAATTCCTCCTACCTTTTGTATAAACCATGACTGCAGTAGCTTTTGTACAAAACATGACTGCTTTTACACGAAAGACCTCTCATTCATTTTGGATGGAAAAAACTATTTGCACAGTAAAAGGGAGAGAAAGGAAGAAGCTACTAGGTATAAAACTCACATGGTAGAAGTTAAGTACAGGGAATTTGCCTTTAATATGACATTTGGGGTTGAAATAAATTGTACATTTTAAAGGGCAATGCTGTATAAATAAACCAAAACCCAGACATGTATACTATATTTATCTCGAAAGGGACCAAAAGGTTTACCCAACAGTCACATAGAGAGAAGAAAGTTAGCCATGACATTTGGACTCAAAGGCCTTCCTTAGAATGGTCTCACAGAGAGTGCACATGCCACTGCAACTCATCATTGCATTACTCACACTTCCATTCAAGAACAAATTCAGTGAGACTATGGCTTAAGTAAATGCAACACTTCATATTAAAGTTCTGAAGGATCCATCCCCACAGTTTTTAACTCCATTGTCTCACTTCTGCCCTCACTGACACCGATTTTCTTGTCTTCATACATATTTGTTCTGAACTGTTAAGGAATCTTCTCTAGAAAAATGAATTTGATACAGAGAAAGCAAAAAGACTAATAAATCAGAATTTAATGCAGAGATTGCTTCTCACTAGAAGTTTTTATGCTAGTTTTCATAAGAAACACCTAAATTTTCACTCAGGACTAGAGAGTCCACTTACCATCTTACATAATTTCAGAAAAAGACAAAGTAAAGACTATAGAAAAATTACAGCCTCTGTACATATTTCAAAATAATTACATTACGAAAGTATCTGGTCCAATAAATCCACTGAAATTTCAAACATTCAGCTAGCTGTGTTTTGAGTAATTTGCTAAAGTTACCAGTACGACACCAAACACCACTTCTTCTAACCCATTTTATGTCTCCAATTACTCTTCTTATGGGGTGAAGCACTGTAACGCTATAGTTAAGGGAGAATTGTGTCTCTTCATTTAAAAGGGTGACACCAATACTTAATTGGCATCTTTTAACCATTTACAAACATCAATAAAAAAATAAGATTTGGTCAGTTTCAGATCCTTAAGTATGCAAAATTCTCAGTGAGGACAATCTAAGTTTGGTCAACTTGGATACTGAATGTATTCCATGTTAACCAAATTTTGCTTCAAACACTACAGAAATGTACTCCAAGGCCAAATGTTGAATGCAAAATTATTTTCTCATTTATTGACTACTCAGAACTGTGATAAATTTTGGAGCACAGGCTAGAAAACAAACTGCAGTTTATAGACTGAAGATAACAGTTCTTCTGTATCAGTGGCATAATTAGATTAAACAGTCTTTGAATTCGTAAACAGCTCTCTAGACACTTCTTTTTTCTCTCCACTGAGGTATTTCTTTTATAAAAAAAAAAAAGCCTTAAAAGAAATCTCTTTTGGAATAATCTCAGAATTTCCATTGTCTCAAGCTTGTGTATTAAACTAGATAAGCTAATAAGAAATGAATACAGCTGTTATTACCTATTACATCAGGGCAAACTCCGCTCTCCAGTCTATGCTTCTTGTACAAGTTTTTCAGGACTTTGGCACTTCCAAAACACTTAAAGCGGCTTTTCACATTATTGTAGTACCAATCCAGAGACTGGGTCCTTAGGAACCTAAACCAGAAAAATGAACTACATATTTGGAATAATTCTACAACAAATAGACATAAACAGTTTACCATCCTTTTATGTAAAAAAGGATCTTATAGGCCTCAGAGCATAAACGTATTAATTTCTGAATAGTTCTTTACTGTTTGTACTTTGCAACTGTCCAGTATACTGAGGCAAAAAAGGGAAAAAAAAAGGTAACCCATGAGCAAATATCTGCTTCACATTACCTAAGGTTTTATTTGGTTTTGTTACTATGAGAAGAGGTGCTCTCCCCTTTTACATTATAATGCCAACACTACAGCCCTTGGAAAAATATAAATAAGCCTTGGAACAGCACAGAAAGGTTTTAAAAATAGCCTTTACTTACACAGATTTACAGATAATGTATGAATATTAGCCCATTAATGCACCGCAAGAAATAATACTTCCATAAAAACATAGCACTTCCTTTATTTGGGGAAACCAATAGAGTAGACAAAGCCTAATTAGAGGACCTCAAAGCAGAATGAGCAAAGAATGGTAGGCAGTCCACCTTTTTTGAGGGGAAAGGACTCACAACTGCAGTTTGGTTTCTTACTTTCAACACTAAGCATCACTGATGTCAATAACTCATCCTAATGGATTTGTCCCCAGAGCTGGTACACTTCCATAAAGCCACATGATACTGTCACGCTCTGTATTCTCTTCCACGTGGCAATGGGCTCTTGCTTCACCTCTTACTTCAGCAGCGGGTGGAGAGAACCCACGCCGTATTCCCAGGCAACAGAACCAGAGGTTACTGCAGGTAACACTCAGCGGACCCGCACGTTTCCTACCGAGGGCATCTCTGGAGAGGGGGATCCTAGGGTTCCGCCTATCAGTTCAAGCTGACTTACCCAACAGCCTCCAGAAAGGAGAATTAAGTCTAAGCCAGTGAACATGAACTAACTCGGAGTGTTTGCTTCCCCGTTTCAGCCCATTTGTTCCTCTGCACATTGCCACAGTAGTTTATTTTTAATTAATTTACTGCACTTACATTGCAGGAACCAGGATATTTTATGGAAGATGAAAACATTTCACAGAAAATTGTATTTAGTATATGCTGCAAAAGTAATTTCCCTTTTGTAATAATTACAAAAATTGGGATCTTGGAACTAGAAGCCGTATGAAGCTTGTTACACAACTAAGCAAAGAGATGATTCTTAACACCAAGATTTCAGAGAATAAAAGGCTAAGGTTAGTGTTCCGTGTCAATATACGAACCCCTAAAGAAATTACGTTACTATCAGGAGTGCTGGACTGTCAGTGTTTCCAAACTTGAAAACATTCACATGATTTAATCCAGTTTTTTAAACCTGGAGTCGTGGGTAAAAACCAGAATGAAACGAAAGCCCACTGTAACCTTTAGATTTTCCTTCAGGGACTCTGGACTTTTCTTTATACAGTGCAAAGCAAGTGACAATCCACAATTTTTGTTTAACACACACCATTTCATAAGCAAATAAAATCTCACCTATTGAGAGACTAGCAGTGTAGTTCTTACTCGGCACTGAACCTCGGGAGATGCTTGACAACAAACAAATATGCTGAGCCTGGTGTTTCAATGAAACGCTTCCAGTCCAGCTCTGGATCTTTTGAATTTCAGTATACTGCTAAAAACGAATATCCACTTCATTTAAAGCAGAATATCATGATACAGTCCACTTCTCTGTCACCACTGAAAGGTGTTTAGTAGCAAACACCAATAGTGGGAAATTAAAAATAAAAATCAATGAAGCCTATCGTATTCAAACTGTGAACTTTTAAAGTTACATTAGCTGCTCTACTGAAGACAACTGAAGAAAAAGCACGTAATGAAACAGAAACATATTCTTTCTGTATGCCATGTCAGCAAGTAGATGCAGGAAAGATGTTTACAGATCATGTAAGAATATTAGCCCTTTACTATCTATTTGCACAGTAATATCCCAAGACTAACTATGGTTCCCAGGAGGCTGATTAGTTCCAATATTCACTGTTCTACAAATATCACTAACATGTGACGATGGCAAAAATCGTTTTTTTTTTCTGGGTATGTCCTTACACACGGTGCAGAGATGACTGACAGCTGATGAAGCACAAGTGGCTGGTGATGGAGCATGAGCAATGGGAAGGATGCCTAGGTCGGTCTGTCTGGGAAGCACAGGATTTTTGAATTCCTATCATGCTACCACTGAGAATTCTGTTACAATGCTTGTCCCAAGTCCTGACCCACTGACCTGGGCTTGGCTGCTGGCGCAGTGATGAATCTTCGAATGGAGGCAAATTTCTCTCCCAGACCTGCAATTCTTTGGTGTTTTGAGAACCTGCCTTCTTTGTGGGCAGGAACCATTTGCTCTCAGGGAAACTGCATCAGAAAGGAACAAACACTATGTCTTCTGCTTGCTGAATTTGATTCACTTTTGTCCACTGAGTTTCTACAGGTGCTGGGAGTGTAAGATTTCAGTCAATAGCACAGAGTCCCAATCATTATGATGGATAAAACTAAGTCTGCATGACAGGGCTGGAAGTGGCTTAGCAGACGGTGCTGGCCAGGAAGGACACTCTCCTCCCTGTGAATACAGTCTTCTCCATGCTGTCCACGAAACAGTTATCACAGCTCTGTCACCGCTGGCGGACTCACAGCACTGTGAGTCCTCAAATACATTGCTTTAGGGCTTTCTTTCAAGATCTCTACCAACTACCTTAGCACGTTTACCAAGCTGCCTCAGCTCCACCAGCTCAAAACACTAAATTTGTCATCTTCTTGGATGCCAAGTAGACTCAGTTCTTAATATTCAGACTGAGTGACAAGGTACCAAAAGCAGAGAGTCATCCATCTCATTGCGCATGCTGTGTGAGCTAAGATAGTTATGAATGCTGACCTGGCAATTTGGGATAAATGACAAGACGGGACCCATTACAAGCCTGCTTCCCTGTCTTTTTCCCCAGGTTACCATGTTTGCTGGGTCTGCTCAACACTGTTTCTGTAAAAACAGAAAGCTAACAGCACTGGTTTCTTAACGAGGTCAGAGTGCTTTGCAACTAACACAATTTTAGTGACAGGTTTTGTTTTTGTAATGATAAGGTTTTCCATATGTGAACTTTGGAAGAGGCAAAAGGATAGGAGATCATACATCTCAAAGCAACAATGAAAGAAGAGATGTTTGCCTCTTTGTACTAGTTAACATGGTGTAAACACAAGGATTGGGATTTTAAAAAAAAATTCCTCATTGCTGCAAGATTAACACTTTGTGAGTAATCTAATCGTCTCATGCTTCTCTCCTATGTGTTGGAGAGCTACCAACTACTCCAAATCTATGCCTCTGTCGTGCACATATTCTATAGCAGATTACAATGCCTCCTCTGAAGCTTTTCAGTCTCTTAACTTTCAAGTAAGTCACAATGTCCCTGCTGATTCCTCCTGGGGAGAAAGGATTTGGAGAAGAGAGTAATTCTCTTTAGATACTAAAATAAAAGACCCACTCAAAAGAGAAATAAGAGCATTTTTGCCTTATTTCAAAATCCTTTAATGTTGACCTGTATTTTAAAGTTGTATTCTGCAAAAGCAGTCCATGAGTCCAGAATAATGAAAGACTATGACAGTGCTAGCATTAAATTGTTAAAATGAAACACATCCCTTATTACCTCTAATAGAAAGTGTGCAAGTTCTCTCCATGAAATGAAACTTCAAACTTAAAGGATCTCAGTTGTATGCATTTTAAAGAAGCAGGAA